TGACATTCCCCTTGCTTTGATTACAACCAAGGTACATGTCAAGTCCAGTCTCGGGCTCTATCTTCAAACGTGTACGCAACATGCTCCACCCTTGGGCAAGGTTCTTCTGTGGCCCTGCCATTTTGAAGTCGTCGACATACACAACCAGAACAAGCTGGAGCTTCTCATGAATGTACACTGAAGGCCATTCTTCGCCGATGGGCTCAAAACCAACGGCACGCACCGACTCATCGCAGTGCTGCTCCCAAAATGTCCCCGCATCTGGGTGTCCGTACAGCGCCTTCCTCAACGGGACGACTGGTCTTCTGTACTTATCCCATTTGCATTCACTTGGCACAGCCTCCGGTGGCAATTCGATCCAACACGGCGTGCCTCTCAAGGTGGCCTGTATGTACGCTTGAACAGCGTCGGCCATCTGCACATCCCAGCCATCATGACAACCCAAAAAATCCGCCCAACGCGAGGCTTCGAATGAAGCAGGAGAGTTCCCCAAATCTTGAAACATCGCAGCCTCAAAGCTTTGGGTCTTCACTTGGTTCCCCAGCAGCACGCCTCTACCCTTGAACTTCCTCTTAGGATCACCAACAGGCAACTGTGAGTGCTTTTCAACGCAAATGCCATGTGCGCGTGCCATGTGTATCTCTTCCCCTTTCGCTTTTGCCTCCTTGGCTACAGCGTCATATTCACGCACCGCGCCAAGATCGAAGACGCCCTGGTCGATTAATCCCGACCATTCTTTCTTCATCGATGCCAACGCATCAGGGTTGGTCAGCATCTCTTTCCGGCCAACCGGTCTGGATACTAAAGCGTCGAAGAATCGTACAACTTTCACTGCTTTCTCTCTGTGCTGTATTCGCTCAGAAGTCACGCACGGCATCGATGGGTATTTCTTGGCTTCACCGTCTTCGCCTATCGCAGGCATCGCGAGTGGCACTTTTCCAGAAACTACCTCAGCAGAGCAGACTCCTCCCATTCATACCAGGTAAGATCCGTCGATTCGTCGACCGTTGGATCTGTCCCCGATGTCGTCTCAGCTTCGTCTTTCTGACGCTCAATGACTGATGCAACTGCCGTCGTCCAATTTGGAGTCGACTTTGATCGCTCCTCTGACTTGAACTTCCAGGCATAAATTACTACCAGACACTCAAATTCTTTCTCAAGCTGAACGTTTCGTCTCAAGACGTCTTGGGATTGCTTGGAATCCATGAGAACAACCACTCCGTCAGCAGGATTTACAACAATCCTGACCCAATCAAGTTCAGCCAAGTGTTTACCATCCATTGGGTTCTTGATCTTTGATATGTTCTTCCGCAATCCCCAATTGTACTGCCATTCAACTCCACCCCAGCGGTTTCGAAGCATTGCTCGAATTCTCTTACCACCGGGCATCTGCAATATCTGTGCCTCTGCCGGCGCAGAAATCTCAGATTCTTTACTCTTGGGATCTTCTTTCTTCTTCTTGCCACCACCCATCACCTCGGCCTTTCTTCCTTGGTGTAGTATTTACTCATCATTTTCCATTCATCGGGAGTGAACTCTGGAGGTCTCGACGTCTTCATTAACCTGAAACCATCCTTCCCGACAGGATATGGTCTTCCGGCCTTGTCGATCTTAACCTCCTTGCCATCATCGTTGACGTACGTGATGCCATCCCCAGGTAGTCCAACTGACACATGTGGAAGGTCGGACTTCGTAATCTTTTCATCGCCCTTGGCATGTCCATCCTCTTTCCCTTTTGATGAGCTCGGTCTAGCATCTTCCTCTTCTGCATGGCCCCCCCGACCTCCGACATGTACTTCTGGGCCATCGTCAAGCAGCAGACCAGCGATCTGATCGACCTCATCGTCGAGCAGTCGCTTCTCGTCACTCTGCAATAACTCGGGCTCATAGTCCTCATCTTCGATCAGGCGGTCACGTGCATCTAGACCGATTGCATCGACAGACAACTCAATCCCTTCCAAAGTCTCGTTGGCAGCCT